GCCTGGAACCATAGCCTTCCTGGTGAGATGAGAGGTTCTTTAGAGAGCTGAAATCATGCCCTCCTCGGCAGGCAGCTTCACCAACATGTGCTGTGGGGGAGTGGATTCTGCTGGTCATGGGCGTGGTGCTGACACCCGCATGGTGGCCCCTCCAGTCCCTGATAAGCTGATCCACCTCTATGGTCAGGTAGTTCCACAGGCCTTTGCTGCAGAGAGGGTCCTCACTCAGCTGCAGACGGGATGGCGGCCACCTTGGCACGTTGGGGTCACGTCAGTGGCTTGGCCGCCTGGCGCCTCCTGGAGAGCAGCCGCTGGCCTTTACCTTAGATGTTCACATCCAGAAGGGCTCCAGAGTTGGCGGTGAAAACTCCCAGCCCTGTTGAAGACTCCTTAGTTCAGCGTGGCACAGAACCTCGGAAAACAGTAGTTCTGCTCCGGGTTCTTCCTTCAGAACTGAGTTCCAGTGCAGGGAAGAGAGCAGAGGGGCCATGAGGTCAGCTGAAGCCTCCTGTGCCTCCCACTTGAGCTGAGGGCCATCTCTCTCCTGGGCTTTTCCCTGTTGTGTTCCCTAGTGCTATGCTGGCCTTGCCGAGGCTGGCCCCGGCTCGTTTCCTGGACTTCCTTGGGCCCCACGCTTGACTCCTGTTCGTTGAATGCCATTAGGGTCCGGTCATCACTGGCTTCACTCTCCTTCAGCACCTTGTAGATGTCCACACGTGCTTCCACCCTCGCACCCCGCACGTGGTGCAGCATTACCCCGGCCAGCCAATTTTTTGCTCAGACACTGTTTATCAGGCCGTCATAGGAGATTCCATAGAAAGGCCACAGGTCGAAGAGGCTATTACTCCCAATATCGCAGGGGCCGTGGCTCTACACCCCTCCTGTGATATTGTTAATATCCTAGGGAAGAGAGGATTATACTACACCCAATATCGCAGGGGGTGTACCCCCACCCAGTGATATTGTTCTTAATGTAATCCACCTCCCACCACCAGGGATATCGTTCTTAATATCCAGGGGAAGACAGGATTACATTATGCCCAATATTGCAGGGCAGTGTACACACCCTCTGTGATGTTGTTCCTAGTATCCAAAGGTAGAGACGATGATATTACTGGCCATATTGCAGGGGGTGTACACCCTTCTGGGATGTTGTTTTTGACATTCAGTGGGGGAGAGGATAACATTAATCCCAATATCGCAGAAGGTGTACAGACGCCTGTGATGTAGTTCCTACTGTACAGGAGAAAGAATATTGCTCTCAGTATCGCAGGGGGTGTAACCACACTGGCCCCCGAATATTGTTCCTAATATGCAGCGGAGTGGAGGCTGATAGTACTCCCAATATCCCAGAAGGTGCACACACACCTGTGATAGAGTTCCTAATATCCAGCGGGAAAGAGGCTGATTTTACTTTCGATATCGCAGTGGGTGTACACCGCCCCCAACCCTGGGGCATCGTTCCTAATATCCAGGAGGGAAGAAGATGACACGGCTGACAATATCGAAGGGGGTGGACAATTCTTCTGTGATATGGTTCCTCTTATCCAGGGGGTGAGTGGACGATATTACTCCCAATAAAGTAGGAACCTTACAGCCACCCTGGGATTTTGTCCTTAATATCCACAGGGGGGAGGTGATATTACTACCAATATTACAAGGGGTGTACACCCCTCCTGTGATACTGTTTCTTATATCCAGGAAGGGAGAAATGGCGTTACTACCAATATTGAAGAGATGTACAACCCCCATGGAATATTGTTCTAAAGATACAGGTTGAAAGAGGTTGAGATTCCATCCAATATAACAAGGGGTGTACACCCCGTCTGTGGTATGCATCGTAAAACCTAGAAGAGAGAATGACATTGCTTCCAAAAACACGGTGTGTACACCCACCCTGTGATATTGTTCCTGTCATCTAAAGGAAGAGATGATGATGCTACTCCCACTACCAGAGAAGGTACACACCCCCCTGTGATACTCTTCCTCATAACTTGTGGGGGAGAGCATGATATTACTTCCAATATGACAGTGGCTTGACACCCAGTCTGTGACATTGGTTTTGCACACCAACTCCGTGCCCCTCGTTTCCCATGCGTTCTCTCCTCACTGTTGGAACCTCGGGGGAGGCTTTGTCTTTGGTTACAGATGAAGGGTCTGAGAGGTTAAGTAAGTTACTGGAAAAGGGGTCCCGATCCAGACCCCAAGAGAGGGTTCTTGGATCTCACAGAAGAAAGAATTCGGGGCAAGTTCATAAAGTGAAAGCAAGTTTATTAGGAAAGAAAAGAATTAAAAGCATGGCTACTCTGGCCGGGCGCAGTGGCTTACTCCTGTAATCCCATAACTTTGGGATGCCGAGGCAGGTGGATCATCTGAGGTGAGAACTTCGAGACCAGCCTGGTCCAACATGGCAAAACCCTGTCTCCACTAAAATACAAAAGATTAGCTGGGTGTGGTGGCAGGTGCTTGTAGTCCCAGCTACTAGGAAGGCTGAGGCAGGAGAATCGCTTGAACCCAGGAGGCGGAGGCGGTAGTAAGCCAAGATCACGCCACTGCATTCCAGTCTGGGCAACCTCCAAAAAAAAAAAAAAAAAGAATGGCTGCTCCATAGGCAGAGTGGCCCCAAAGGCTGCTGGTTGCCCATTTTCATGGTTATTTCTTGATCATACGCTAAACAAGGGTTGGACTATTCATGAGTGTTCCAGGAAAGGGGTTCCAGTAATTCCCAGAACTGAGAGTTTCTGTCCTTTCCTTTTTAGACCATGTAGGGTAACCTCCAGATGTTGCCATGGCATCTGTAAACTGATGGCGCTGGTGGGAGTGTCTTTTAGCAGCTAATGCATTATAATTAACACATAATGAGCCATGAGGACAATCAGAGGTCACTCTCATGGTCATCTTGGGTTTGGTGGGCTTTGGCTGGCTTCTGTACTGCAACCTGCTTTATCAGCAAGGTCTTTATAACCTGTATCTTGTGTCGACCTCCTATCTCATCCTGTGACTAAGAATGGCTAGCCTACTGGAAATGCGGCCCAGCAGGTCTCAGCCTCCCTTTACCCAGCCCCCATTCAAGATGGAGTTGCTCTGGTTCACGTGCCTCTGACAAGTTGGCGTGCGTTGAATGTTCTCTAGTGTGTGGTTGTTGGAGCTGTTCCTAGGAGTAAGAAGTATTGTCAGTAGGAAATAGGCCTCTATTAGCCCTGGAGCTGGCAGTCTGCCCCAGTAGGTTGACCTCATTTTAGTGGTGACCAAACGGGCTCAGAGAAATCAACTCCCTCACCCCGCACCCCCAGACTGAGTGGTGGGCTGGGGTTTGAATGTGGGGCTTGAAGACCCATCATCTCCTCTGGTCCCCCAGTCTCTGCTGCCCAAGAGGAACAGGATCCCAGGATCCAGGCCCCTCATGGCACTAGCCACGGTAGGTGGAGATGGGGAGGCACAGTTCCAAAGTCCCCCAGACTCTGAGGCGGGTCGGGGGCCGAGAGCAACCCGGACCTGCGGACCCCACCCTGAGAAGAATGGCTGCAGGCTCGGCCCAGCGGGCAGGAGGTCTGTGTCCTCAGTAAACGTGACGGCGCTTCCCGCTGCTCCAGCCAGGCCGAGCCGTCTTCATGTTTCCAATCATGCGGCCTCCAATTCCCAAGATCAACCCACAGAGACAGCGATCTGGGGTCAACAGGAATGAGGCTTGTCAGCAGATCTGACCCACTGCTTCCCGCCAGCCCCGCGGCAGGTTCTGGAAAGCTCTCTGCTGCCCCCTGGTGGGGAGGCTCCGGGCAGGGCTCTGGCTCTCCCAGAACCTCCAGGCTCTGTCACCTCTGCTGGGTGGAAAACCAAACCAGGACTGAAGCAGCAGATGGGTGCCTGATTCCTTCTCAGAGCTCCGCCCACTGGCAAGTCTCTCTCCGGGCCTCAGTTTCCCCTTTCATTAAACGAGGGGCTTGGGGGATACCAAGGAGGGGTAACTGCTTAGTGAGGATGGGAGGTTTCTTCTGGGGAGATGAAAACATTTTGAAACTAGACGGCGTGAGTTGTTGCACAGGACTGTGAATGCACAATTGCCACCACATGATTTGTGTTGAAATAGTTAATCACATGCGATGTGAATGTCACCTCATTTAAAGTGTTTAAAAGAGGGGCCTGGGAGAGTACAGTGTGTGTGAGAATCACGTGGAACACTCACAGTCTCTGAACCTCGGTTTCCTTGCTGTAAACTGGCAAAGAGACCGTGTGAGCCGTGTTCCCTGGGGCCAAGAGATTCCAAGAAGGAAAACCTGGATTCCTGGGCCTGGGATGAGGGCCGGGGGCCGGAAGAAGAGGGGTATGTGGGGACGGCTTGGGGGGCAGCCCAGATAAGGCTTTCAACACTGGGCAGCGGCGTCTACATAGGCAGTCTGTGTAGATCCCTGCATCTCACTTCCCGCAGGGCTGATCAGTGGCCAAAGGTGGGACTGGCCAGGCTCGGCCCAGCCAAGTCTGGGAGCAGAGGACACTGAGTGAGGGATCCCCGGGGCCACCCTCACTGGCCTGTGGCTCTCCTGACACCACAAGAGAGGATCAGGAACTGACCTTGGGTCCTAATGGGGGACACCTTCCTGGCAGCAGGCTGGCAGGGTGGTGTGTTGGTCAGTGTACTGGGCTCTGTCTCCGCCCCTACCTGCTTTGTGACGGTGGGCCAGACACTTAACCTCTCTGTGCCTCTGTTTCTTCAATGGTGAACAGGGGCACTAGCAGCCCCCACATCCGGGCACAGTGGCCTGAAGGTTAAAGGCAAGGGTGGCATGAGACCTACAGCAAAAGCTCTGAGCAGGGAGCTGCCCAGAGAGTTCACCATCTCCCTTCTGGCCACCAGGAATCCGAGGCTCATGGTGACCTGGCCCAGGTGTGTTGGACTCAGGGTCCTTCCCATCCCCAAGATCAGAGGGCTGCCACCAGGGAAGGAGCTGGCCTCTAGACACACCCCAGGAAGCACACAGGGAAGGATGCCCCGGGGACTTCGGTAGGTTATTGCAAAAAACAAAAAAAAACTTTATTGCTATTTGACCCCTGCTTTCATGCCTCCATTTCCCAGAAAATGAGCCACGGGAGGCAGGAGACCACCCTCCTTGCACAAAACCCACTCCCTCGGATGCTGTCCTCAGCGAGGGTGGCTGGGGGCCAACCTAAGGGGGCCCACCCGCAGAGTGGCAGAGGAGGCAGGTTGACCCTGCGGACGTTGAGCTCTGTGGCGAAGGTCCTGGCCTTCTGGTAGAAGAAGAGCGACTTCTCGCGGTCCAGGAGAAAGTTGTGGTAGATGGTGGCCAGCCGCGTGTAGATCTTCAGCTGTGCCTCCTTGTTGCCCAGGTCCACAGTGGCTGCCAGTGCCAGCTTGGTAGTACCTGGCTGCATCAAACGGGTCCTGAAGGGGACAGGCCATGGTCAGCAAAAGGGGGACTCAGAGTCTGTCTTCCCAGAGGGCGTTCCTATCTCCGGGTCCTTCCATATGTCCAGCCAATCCTGGCTCACCCCATGAGCCCTGAAGCCTGTAACACTGCTGTGGTCTCAGCTGCAGGAGGTGGGGATGACCCTGACACCCCTGGAATACTTCCTGAGTGTCCCTACGCCCCCACTCACATGAAGCCTCCTGCCCCAGTCCCACCCTCTCTGCAGGCAGTGGCTGCTTTCCCCATGGACTGAGGTCAGGGCCGATCCTGCCTGCTCTGAGAGTTCCATGCAGGACCCATGGCTCCAAGCCCCAGCAGGGGCACAGCGTTGAGTGACCCAGGCTCCCCTCTGGCCCCTGTCCTTGCTGACCATTTCCAGGCCCTCCACGGGCCAGGCCAGGTACACAACCATCTCCCAGGTGTCCTCTCTGGCAATGTTCCCTGAAATATTGACGGAGTGTGACTCCCCAGACATCCACTCCTGTTTTCAATGCATCTTTGGCTCAAACTCACCATCCCTGGGTTGGCCTCCCATACCTCCTCCTTGACCGTCACATCCCCCACCCGGCTTCTCCCCAGATGCCGCCTCCACATGGGGGTCACCCAAGGGACCTAAGACTGGAGCCTGGCCTGTCCCCCTTTACCATCTCAAGATGGCTCCCAGGGCCAAGGACAAAGTCCAAGATGCAGCAGTCCATTCCCTGACTGCCACACCCCACACACGGAGCAGGGGCGTGAGAAGGCCCTGAGTCACAGCCCAGCCGAACACTGGACTCTGTGCTGGGTGTATGGCTGAGCCTAACATCCTTGCTCCCAGGCTGAGGGACCTGGGAGTGAACACTGACCATACAGGGTGGCCCGGGCTGTGGTAGAGGGAAGCCCAGAAGCCTGTGGGGGGCCCAGGAGGCCCCAGACTCAGCCAGGGGTGGGAGGCAAGGGCTTCCTGAAGGAGTGGGGGCATCCCAAGAAAACAGGAAGGAGCCAGCCAAAGCATATGTCTCTGCGTATGCGTGTGTGTGTCCTCCAGGAAGGAGTTGCTCAGTGCAGGCAGGCCTGTGTGTGTGTGTGTGTGTGTGTGTGTGTGTGTGTGTGCGCGCGCCTGTACATGTCAATGTGCCTGTAGTGTGTGCAGCAACTAGTGAGTGGCAGGCTGAGCCAGGACACACCTAATCCACCCTATTCCAGGGCTCTCATGTGTAGACTAAAGGGGACCCCATTTTAGAGGCAATCGGCAAGGATGCCCATTTACCCCTGCCTCTCCGCCAGCCTTCCAGGTCCCATCCAGCCCGGCTTTCTCTCCCACTCTGGGCCCTGGGTCCAGAGCCTCCTATACAAGGAGGAGGGCGTGGCCTTGGAAAGACAGCCTCCCTTGGGAATTCCGAAGGGGCCTTCCTGTGGGAAGCTGGCCTGCGCTGACAGCATAGTCACAATGAGGCCCAGAGGGCTGTGCATGGGATGGAGGTTTTTAGGAGGCCTCTGCCCCTCGACCCCAACCGTGGACGTTGGCCTCTCAGCTACTACTTGGCCCTTTCCTTCCTTCCTGGGCAGGCGGAGTGGGCGGCAGGCTTGACCAAGAGAGAGAAAGGCCTCTTCTGGGAGGCCCGTCCCCTGGATCCCAGGTGAGCCCCTGAGCAGTGAGCAGTGTCCCTCTGGGCCTGACACCTGGCACCTCCCTATCTGGCTGGGACCTGGGAGGCCACCGTGACAGCTTCTGAGCACCAGGTGTCGCCAGCACTGGGCGGGGGCCTCCCGGGCAGCCCCAGGCCTGTGGTGGGGGATTCGGGGTGGGGTCTTAAGGCTGCCCCAGCTCCTCATGTTGTTCTAAGGTCCCCAAGATCTCAGTCCCTGGACTGGAGCGCCCTGGCCCCTCAGCCCATAAGGAGCACTGACGCGGTGCCAGTGCGATGCTGAGGAGGGGTGGGCACCTGCTGGCCAGAGGGGTGCAGACATCCCAGGTCTGAGTCTGCCACTCCCAGCTCTCCACCCCTGCAGGGCTGGGGGCAGAGGGAGTACAGGTCCCAGCACCTTCCCTCGAGACAGACCCGACCCAGCAAGGCCTCAGTCTGGCTGGCTTGGGCCCCACCCCATTGCATCTGCCCTCTGCTGGGGTTTCCCTGTCTGTGAAGCACATGGTAAGACACTGGCCCCACCCCACCCTTCCTGGGTGATGTGAAGATTCAAGGTGTCTCGGGACTCCAGGAAGGAGTTGCTCGGTGCAGGCTGGCACCCTGGGCAGGCTTCCTAGAGGAGGCGCTGGGATTTGGGTTGGATCTTGCAACGTGGATTCAACGTGAGGATGATGCCATCCTCCTAAATGTCCTCCTCCCGACCATGTTTTTGTTAAATGCAACTTGACACTTGATTGTCAAGACTCAGCTTTGGTGTCACCTCCTCCAGGAGGGCCTCCCGACTACGATCCCCCTTTACCCAGAGGCCACCATTGCCCGCTCATGTGTCAGCCTCCTTGGCTGAGACTGAGTTCTTGGTGGGGCCTGGCCAGCTTGGGAGCTGGGTTGTATCTGCTAACCTTGCCGGCTCCTCCAGCCAGGTGCAGAGCTCCCGGGAGGCCACTGGGCCATTCCTAAGGAAGGCTGGAACCCAGGCCTCTGGGGTCTGGGTGGAGATCCCACTCCAAGGGGGCCGGAAACACCCCGAGCCCTGCCCCTCCCACCCACCTTCAGGTTGTAGATGATGTCGCCGAGCACCAGGTACACCTTCAGGTAGTAGAGGGTCTCCTGGTCGAACTCCAGCGGTGAGTTGCAGAGCGACAGGGCCTTGAGGTAGAAGTGCTCCGCCAGCTCGCCGTCGCCCAGCCGGTGGTAGGCCACGCACTCATTCAGCTGGTCCCCTGGGGTGCAGGCCAAAGGGGCAGGTGTGAGGACGTGGCTTCCTGGGGCAGGCAGGGCACAGGCCCCTTAGGAGCAGGTATGCAGACCCCGGGCAGCCCCTGGCTTGCCTCCAGGCACCTGCAGTCACCTGGGCAGCTCTGGCCAGTCCCTTCCGGGTTCCCAGACTCACTTTCCCATCTGCAAAGCAGAACTAATAAGACCTGCCCCCGTCTACTGTGAGGCTTTGGCAAAGTCGGACTTGGATGGCCCAGCTCTGCCTACACATAGCCACCTGCCTTTGCTCACTGGTTTTAACCAGGGGAGCCCAAAAGCCATGCAGTCCAGGTGCTCCCGGGTACCAGGGCTCCAGGCAACCCACAGACGTGACATCCGACTCCTGGGTGTGTCACGATCAGAGCCCCCTACCCTGGGGAGTCACTGCGTGCCTGAGCTCCAGGTCCCCCCACAGATGTGCAAACCCACCTTGGCTGTCTCCGATATCTTTCCCTTTTCAGGGCGAGTGCCGTGGAGCCTGCTTTCAATGCATTCCCACACAGCTGCACACCTACTGTGTACTGGGCCCGGAGCACAAGGCGCTGGGGCATGCGGCCTGCCCAGGGCTCCCTGCCTCTGGAGGCAGACAGACAACCCTGGCACAGCACCAGGGGATGCCCGACCTTAAAGGGCAGGCTGCTGGAAGGGGAACTGGGACTTCATCAGCCAGAGAGCTCTGTGCTTGATGAGGGTGGGAAGGGCACAAGAGAAAGGGAATATGCCATTCAGCCAGGCACAGGGACCAACGAGATGCCTGGCATGTCTGGAAGGCACAGGCCACACTGGGCAGCCCTTGTGGTCAGCAGCGGGAAGAGGCAGAGGAAGCAGAGCTCAGCCAGGCAGGGGCTCAGCACCGCGTGAGAGACCTCGGGATGTGCCCCACAGCCAGACGGGAAGCCAGCTGGCCAGATCTGCCTGCCTGGGCAGAAGACCAGGAAAATCTGGCAGGTGTTTCAGCTCCTTCCCTGAAGACCTGGAGGCTGGGCTCTGGCAAAGTGTGGGTCCTGGCAGGGTGGGGGCTCAGGGGACTTACCCAGAGTGATGCTGAGTGCTAGGGCCATGTGGGCAAACTCCGTGCCCTCCTGGGCTTCCTCCAGCATGGCCAGCAGTGCCACCAGCTTGTTGCACAGCCACAGCTCCGCCTTGCAGTTGCCGGTAGTCACTGCTGGGACAGGGCCCGGTCCTACCACACAGGCAGGTGGGGTCAGGCTTCCCGCAGCACCCACCTTGCCCAGCGCCCCCCTCAGAGCCCGAACATGTGCTTGGAGCTTCCCACGCCCCAGCTACCCCTGGATCTCGACGCAGCTCTGTGCTCTCAGATAAAGCACAATTCAAACACCCAAGTTGGGGGCTGAAGAGTCACCCGAGGCCCATCCAGCTACACCCGGCAGCCTCAGACCCAGCCTCTCCCACCTGGGCACCGGGGGGTCTGACTGGGGGGAGCCAGCACTCCTCTCTAAAAACATATTTATCTCTGCCCAGGGCTGAGCCACACCGTGAGCTCAGAGAAAGGGAGAAGCCGTCCCTGCTTTGGGATGCATGCAGTCCTGGACCTCCCACTGACATGCTGTGTCCTTTGACATGTCCCTGTGCCTCTCTGAGCCTCAGTTTCCTCATCTGTAAGATGGGGGCAGGACTTCCTGCTCATGGTTGCTTGAGAGCATCAGGTGCAAGGGTAAGGCCATTGCCATGTCCAGGCCCCAAGCATTTGTCCCAGGCACAGTATCATTCCCGGTGAGACCACTAGGAAACCAAGCATGTGCATGGGTGGCCCTGCCTCCAGGTGCGAGGCCTCTGCCCTGCCACACCTGTGCCTCAGCCCTCCAGGTGCCCCCTGAGGCTCACCCACATCAGCCCACAGGCCAGCTCACCCGGTAGAAGGACACGGCTTTCTCCCGCTCCCAGGCCCCATTGAAGAATATGTCTCCAGCTGCCTCAAACAGATCCAGCCCCAGGTTGGGGTCGCCTGTGTACAGGGCCACATTCTGTGTCCCTGAAAGGAGGCAGAAGTTCCCTCAAGACCCACACCTGGCGAGGTGGCCACGCCCACCTTCGCCAGCCTCCTTCCTGTCACACACTGCAGGTACACCTGAGCATTTTTCAGACCCTGGGCATTAGGGCTGCCCCCACCACTGGCATGAGGACAATGAACTGATGAACCTGAGTGCCAGGAGGTGACTGAGCAGCTGCAGCCCGGGAGCCTGACACCTGTGAATCCTACCACCAGGGCTAGCCCTAGCCCACTCTCCCTGCATTCAAACCAGTCTCCGTGGCCCCCAGCTTGCTGGGAGCCCATCCCCTGGCTCCTTTCTGCATTGCCACATCCCTGCCACAGCTCCGGACTGCACACCAACTGTGTGTGTGGGTGGGCCTGGACCCCTCCTGGCCATGAGCTCTTGATCCCTCTCCTCAGCTCAAGGAGGTATACAGCAGGTGCTCAATGATGAAAGTTTCACCAGGTTCATGGGCTTCACAAGTTGTTCCAGATCACACTGTTTGGGAAAGCCTCTGAAAACAGCCGCTACGATAGATGCATTTTGTATGGCCGGGCGCGGTGGCTCAAGCCTGTAATCCCAGCACTTTGGGAGGCCGAGACGGGCGGATCACGAGGTCAGGAGATCGAGACCATCCTGGCTAACCCGGTGAAACCCCGTCTCTACTAAAAAATACAAAAAACTAGCCGGGCGAGGTGGCGGGCGCCTGTAGTCCCAGCTACTCGGGAGGCTGAGGCAGGAGAATGGCGTAAACCCGGGAGCGGAGTTGCAGTGAGCCGAGATCGCGCCACTGCACTCCAGCCTGGGTGACAGAGCCAGACTCCGTCTCAAAAAAAAAAAAAAAAAAAAAAAAAAAAAGATAGATGCATTTTGTAAGGAGATGTGCCACGTGTCGCCTTGAGCAGGTTCTTCTGTGTGTTAACTGAGTGGCCACATTATTTGAGCATGTGCTGTACACCAGCAGGTGCTGGGCACTGTGAGGGGCCCCGCCTCTGCCCTCAGGGAGAAGATGCTGGCCATTGGGGGAGGATATGAGGGAACCAGTTGGACAGAGGGAAAAGGCATACAACAGATGCTCAGTAGTGGCTTAGGAATGAGTGGATGGATGGATGAATGGATCAATAGATGTATAGACATGGATGGATGCTTGGATGGATGGATGGACAGATGAATGGGTGGGTGGTTAGAATGATGTGTGTATGTATGGGTAGGTAGACTATGGATGGGTGGAGGGTAGATGATGTATGTACATATGGATGGATAGATGGGTGGATAGACAAATGTATAAACATGGAAAGATGAATGGAGGGATGTATTAATAGGTAGACTGGTGGGTACATGAATGATGGATGGATGGAATGATGAAGAGGTGAATGGATGGATAATGGAAAAATGGATGAACAGGTGAACAGAAGGATGGATAGAAGGATGAACAGTTGGATGGATGATGGAAAGACAGATGGAAGGATGGATGATGGATGGACCCACAGGTGGATGGGTAGATGATGGAAGGATGGATGGATGAATGGATGGGTGGATGGACAGGTGAATGGATGGATAGACGGGTGAATAGATGGATGATAAAAGGATGGATGAATGGACAGATGGATGGATGGAAGGATGAATGGATGGATGGACAGAGAGTGAACAGCACAGGGGCCCTCCTGCAGCCCTTGCCACTCACCTGGATGTACAGGTCCACCAACTCGCTCTGCTGCAGGATGTAATAGATCTTCCCTGCTTGCAGCCAGGCATGTGCCGCCACCTCTTTCTTCTGGAGGTCAATGAAAATCCCCAGACTTCATTTGGTGTAGTCCAGAGCGGATTTGTAGGCCCTGGAATCAGACACAGGTGTCAGAATAAGGGCTCTCATCCTCCTGGAACCAGTCTGCCTCCTCCCATAGGTCTGGTGACACATGAATCTGGAATGTGGGGACTGGGAACGGCCCTCTTGTGTGTGCAGTGTTCTGCCCTTCCCAGGCTGCTGGGAGGGCCAGGGTGAACACACACGGCATGGAAAAGATGAAGGACATCCTTCTGAGGGAATCGAGCATCATGCTGCCCTGTGGCAGGAGGAGGGTGCTAGTCCATCTCCCCTGCCTCCCAGACATGGCCTCTGTCTTCTCCAGACGCACCAGGAGACGTTAGTATTCAGAGGCTATCTAGGCCGATGGTTCTCAAGATGTGCAGGCATCGCAGTCACCTCGAGGCCTGTCTAGACCTGTCTGTATAGCTTGCTGGCCCTGCCCCCAGAGCTTCTGGCTCCACAGGCCTGGGGCAGACCCTAGAACTCCCACTTGCCACAAGCTCCTAGGTGACATGGATGCTGCTCTGCTGGTCCAGGCACCACACTTTGAGAAGCATGGCTCTAGCACACTGGCCCATTTTCCTTCTGTGAACCTGAGGCCAAGACTGGAGCCAGTCTCCCAGGTCCCCATGGAATCTGGCTCCTTCTCTGCTCTCTCAGTAAGTCCGACAGTCGAGAGGGTGTGACTGCAGCAATGTCACCGGGCCCTGTGAGTGGGGTGGCCAGGGCCATGGTTACCCCACCAGGTCAGGATGCTCGGGGGAAGCCAAGTGGGCCACATATGGGACGTGAGACCTTGAACCTGCCCCAGGAAAGCGGGTGACACAACTGGCTCTGGCTGCTGTGGTCATATTTAAGGGGACAGATGAAGGCCAGGAGTGAAGACTCGGGGCAGGCAGAGGTCAGATGATGAAAGCCACCATAGTAGGAAGAATAGCCCAGACTGCACGTACTGCCTCTGCTGGGGTTGAGATGACCTTTGGGGAGGTGTGCAGGCAGGGATGGGAAGACGTGTCACCCAACAAGAGAGGCTCAAGCTGGGACTCGGGCCATCCGCAGCCCTGGGACGACCCCAGGCCCAGCAGCTCAAAGAATCTGATGCCAAGAAACCAAATGATCCCAGGACAGGGGCTGCTGGGGCCCTGGGCCAGCTTCCCTGTGCTCCCCTCCCTGCCCCCCCGCCCTCTTTGTGCCCCTCCCCGCAGTGGGGGCTTGGGCGCTGGGTTCCTGGAGGGTCTCCTTCTAGTCAGAGAATGCCCCTGGGGAAGAAGCCTGGGTCTGAAACCCCCACCCCTCCTTGGGCAGATGTGTGGGACCGGGGCCCCTTCACACGGTCCTTTCCAAAATCTCATCCCTCCTAGGGCCAGGAGTGGGTGCCCGGCCTGTGCTGGGAAATGGGCAGATTTGGCCACAGCCCCTGGGGCTCTGGGCCAGGCCACAGGAGGCACCTCTCAGTGGTCTCACTATGCCATGACGTCCATCCTGGGAAGATGGACAAAGCGCTGCAAGGCAGAGGGGATCCACAACAGCATCCCTTGTCTTGGTCATTTCCCTAGACTCAACTTCCTCATCTATCCTATATCCTATTCCTGCGGCCTAGCTTTCGGACAGCCCTGCCCACCTACTGTCCGTTCACTGCTCAGTCTGCAGTGACTGTTCTGTAGCACTCCATGGCTCCCCAGTGCTCTTGGGGAAAAGGCCAAGCTACAGCCTGAGGCCCTGCTTAGCTCTCCAGAAGAGCTTCTCACCATCCAGCACCCAACCCACCCACTCCCAACTCTGCACCTCCCTGTGTAAGCCCGGCTCACTCAACCCTGCTCACACTCCCGCTCACTCACACCATTCACCCACCGCCACTCATCCTCACTAGCTCACCCCTGGGCCTTCACACAGGCTACACCACCAGCCCCTCTCCCCTACCACCACCATCTATTACTTGACTAAATCCTCTCAACCATCTGGTCCCACACTAAAGAGGCTTCCTTAACCCGGGGCCAAGTGCTGCCCCGCCATCACGCCACTCACCCTTTTGTGGCTTCTCTGGCCTGAAGCTCACATTCCCATGTTCAGCCCCTGCCACCCAAGGACCCCACAAGCCCCATTTGTGGGTGGGGCCTGGCCCACTCTGCACAACAAACTGCTTTTGCATGAACCACTCTGCGGCTTTGGGCAATCACCTGCCCCGTGTCCTCTGTGAAGTGGGATGACAGGTGCACAGGCTGGCGTATACAAGCAGATAACATGGGCACAAGAACCGGCGTTCCAGGCCTGGCTCATGGAGGGGCCCCCAAGTCCCAGCTCAGCAGAGCCTGCCTCGACCCAGGGTTATGTCTAGGGATTCCCAGCATGCAGGGACTTTCAGTGCTCAAGGCAGGATGGTCCCTGGGCAAACCGGGAAGAGCTGGCTGCCCCAGTGGGCACAGAGGGCCTGCCCCTGCATGGGAACGGCCTGTCTCCAGGGCGCTTGCCAACATCTGCTGTTGGCCATGACGCAGCACTTTCGATGGTGGAAAAACCATCACTTGTTTCTGAATCACAAACCCCAGGTGTGCTCTGACCCAGGTGGCCACGGAAGGTGCACAGGAGGAACTGGGGCACTCACTCTCCACGTGGCCCATCTCCACGGCGACCAGACGGGCCCACTCATAGTAGCCCTTGCCCTGCTGAGCCGGGCCCTGGTGGGTGCAGAGGTGGCCCAGCTGCAGGAGCACATGGGTGAAGTCCCGGCCACACTCTCCACAGGGCAGCCTCGAGAACAGCCTCATGGCCTCCAGGAGGTCGTGCTGGGCCAGCCTGCTGGCACCCGCATGCAGGCACCGGGCCCCAAAGTTGGCCAGCACCACTGCCTGGTTCCTCCGCTGGCCCAGGTCCCGAGCAACCCGTAGGGCACGGTAGTAGCCCTCGGCTGCCTGCCTCATCCGACCCGTCCTCTTCAGAGCCATGGCCCCCATGTTGGCAATCACACCCTCCTGGTCCTCGCTGGCCACCACTGGACAGACTACAGGATGTCCAGGCCACTGGGCTCTGCCCATGAAGCACGTGCAGGCAGTCCACGATGGCACGGACTCCGGCAACAGCACTGGCTTCCACCGCCTGCGTCAGGAAGGTGATGGCCGGGCCGTGGTAGCCACGGTGGCTGTACAGCTGGACCAGGCTGGCGTGGAGAAGGCCGTGCAGCGCCTGGCCTGTGCCCGGGGTTAGGGAGGCCAGCGCTCGCCTGAGGTAGTGGGAAGTCTGGGTGGGCAGGCTGTGGGGCTGGAGGACGTTCTGGAGCACCAGGTTCATGCTCCTCAGCGAGTCCTGTGCCCTCAATGAGGCCACCTTGACACAGCTCAGCACCAGGTGGGGCAGGCACTTGCAGCTGTAGATGTCAGCTAGGAGTAGGTGACAGTCTGAGAGCCACGCAGCCTCTGGGGCTCCCGAGTCCCTGTGCAAAAGCAGCAGCTGCTCTAGGAAGGGCAGGGCCTCCTCGGGCTGCTTGAGGTGCACGTGGTGCTGGACAGCAGGAAGCAGGCCCGGGCCTCGGGCTGCAGGCTCTGGCCACCCACCGCCTGCCGCAGCACCAGCTTCAGGAGCTCTCCCTCCACCTCAGTGCTGCAGATGTGGCCAGGTGTCCCCAGGAGCAGGGCCACAGCTTTGGGTAACACCTGTGTACACTTCTCTCGGTTCTTTTGCTTCCAGTAAATACTGGTCAGGTTGGCGGACACAGCCACCACCAGGAACAGGTCCCCAAAGCTGCCCTCCAGGGCCCCCGGTGCTTCCTCAACGTACACCCAGGCCTGGGACAGCTTGAGCCTTCTGCTGCACAGCCGCCCCAGGAGGAAGCAGAGCCTGGCCAGGGCCATGACGAGGCCAGCTTTCTTGGCCGCCCCTCGGGCCTGTGCCAGACACCCAGTCAGCTCCTCGTCGCTAAAGCTGCAGAACACGCTGCTCAGCCATGGCAGCGCCACGTCAGCTGGCCTTGTACCCGGGGGCGTTCAGGAATAGCAGCAGTGAGCTCAGGGCCTCTGGGTCCTCCCAGTCATCCTCAGCTTCCAAGCAGAAGGAGGGCTCCTCGGGGTCCTGCAAGCTCACGTTGCTGGATGCTGGCTCCTGGGGGCAGCCTGGGCAGGTCTTACATTGTTCCAGAACATTCTTCATCTTCCGCAGGGTCTCCTGTGGCTCCGGGCCCAGGCAAGGTGGACGTACTTCTGCAAGTCACAAAAACACCTAGACAGATTAGAGTCCAGAAGTGAGTCCTTGGTCCACTGGGGACGGGGTCCCCGCATCCCTGCCCCCTGTGTCCCTGGTGCAGCTTGCCATGAGCCCTTGAGAATTATGCGCAATACAAACCCGGGGCCTGGAGCACGTAGGAACTCCGGCACTATGGGGACAGAACACGCAGGCCCGAGGCCCGACTATCCTACAAAATCACCCTCCCGTCCTGCTTTGTCGCCCACCTGACAGCACGGTTTTAGGGCACTATGTCAGCTCAGTGATCCCTCAGAGATGCCTTTCCCTTTAGAAAGCAAGCCTAACTGGACCCATGTATATGCAGCACTCCAACTACAAATGTAACTTTTGTCAGCATATCCGGCCCCCCGATGGGGTAAAGGAATCCATGAAATCCCCAACAGCCAATCAGCTATTGATCAGCTCAAAAGTTGCTATGCAAAATTGGTAAAGCCACCGACAGCACAGGACAGGGATGTTGTACCCATGTACCCAGCTCCGTGCAGGGAAACGGACCATCCCTGCAGGAAGGATGGGAAAGCTTCCAGGCCCCTGTGGCCACCTTCACCTTGGATGGTCTGAAAACCTGAACCCCACAGTTCCTAAAGGGTTAACAAAGGCCAGGCTGCTCAAGCAGCCCGCTGGCATCTGCTGGCTTCTTAGCCAAAGCCCCCTCCCAGAGGTGAGCAAACAAGCGCATTTCCTGTTGGAAAACCTGGGATGAAAGGAGGCATTACTGGGAAAGAAAAAACCTAGATTTAAACAGACTCTGTTTCAAGCTCACATGTAAAAAGTATTTTCAATAGTCTCCTTATTCATCTGTAAAGCCTTGGAATTAAAAAAATAAATATGATTTAGAGACAAATGTCTGACTTGACTACACTAGTTTAGCTAAGAAATCTCCCCACCCGGCAGAGGCACACAGCCCCTCCCAGCCACTACCCTGGCCTCGAGGGCAGCTGGAAAGCCACGTGCCTTTGCTCCAGGGACTTTGGCAGAGGGTGGAACCACCCCCTCCCCGAGGCAAACCTACAACAGCCTTCCCTTCCCCACTGGCTTCGCGGGCCGCCTCTGGGACCTTGTGCCTGCATTCCAAATGTACTGGGATGGATCCCATTCCCAGGGAACTTCCAAGGGCCCTTGGGGTGTCCACATCACCAGACTGTCCACATGCGGACCCTGTGTGAGGGGAAGAGACAAAGCCGTAGAGGGGAGACGGGACGGTCTCCCTGAATCAGCCCCCCAGGAAGGAGCAGACCCTTCAGGGACCTCAGTTGAGGCCCCTGCAACCTAAGACTCTGAATTCTGCCACCCACTGAGGGCAGTGTGGCCTCCCACCTCTGAGGCAGAGCACAGGGCGAGCTGCAGCTTCTCCAGGTCATGAGAAAGGAACCCACAGCTACACGTGGGTCCCAGCAGTGGAAAGGATGCCCCGCCTCTGTCGGGGACCAGGCAGGGGCCAGCATGTTCACTGGAAGAAATGTGGGACCCCACAGCCTCCAGTGCCAGAGTAGATGGCAGGTTCAGGCCCACCTCAGGTGATGTCCCCCCAGCCCACACCACAGAGGGGTGACAGCCGGATCCAATGCCCACCGTACTCAGCTCTGTCACCTCCCCCGGAATTACCCCAAGGCCCAGCTCATAACCAGAGGAAGCCTGAGCCACGAGCAAAACCCACCTCGTTCCTGCGGCTGCTCGGTCTCAGCTTCCTCTACTGAGTCTGGCAAGGGAGAAAAGAGAAGCCATCAACACCCCCAGCCAGCGCCTCTGGTCCCATGTCAGCTTGAGCTGGGTGTCGGTGTTGCAGGGTGAGAGCATTGCAGGGTACAGGGGTTGAAAGTAATATCATCCTCTTCCCTCCTGGATCATGGGAACAACATCACTGGGGGGTGTACACTTTCTGCGATATTGGGAGTAACATCGTCTTCTGTGCCTTGGAATATTAAGGACAATATCACGGGGGGGGGCGTGTACATCTTCTGCAATATTGGGAATAATATTATCCTCTCTCCCCCTGCAAATTCGGAAAGCTATCACAGAGTGGGTGTTCACCTCCTGCGATATGGGGATTAATACCATCTTCTCCCCTTCCGGATATCAGGAAGAGTGTCACATGGGGGTGTACAGTGTCTGTGATACTGGGAGTAATAGCAACCTCTCGGCCTTGAGATATTAGGAACAATATCCCAGACTGGGTGTACGCCTCCTGCTCTATGGGGAGTCATATCATCCTCTCCCTTGCAGGATACTAATAACAATATCTCATGGCGAGAGAACACAGCCTGCGATACTGTAATTATTATCCTCCTCTCCCCCTCCGGATACTAGGAACAATATCACAGAAGAGCTGTACCCTCCCTGTGATATTGGGAGAAATATCATACACTTCTTCTGTGAATATTAGCAGCAATATGACCGGGTGGCTGTCCGTTCATTGCTATGTTGGGAGTCATTTCATACTCTACCCCCCTGGATATCAGGATCAGTGTCACAGGGTGAGTGTACACCTACTGCAATATTAAAACTAATATCATGCTCTCTGTCCCTGGATATTAGGAATGACATCACAGGTAGGTGTACACCCCCAGCGGTATTACAAGCAATAATATTATAAATTATTAAACATCAATGATTGATTTTAATAATTATCAGTCTGGTCTCGAACTCTTGACCTCAGGTGATCTGCCCGCCTCGGCCTCCCAAAGTGCTGGAATTACAGGCGTGAGCCACCACGCCCGGCCAACACTTCTTGACATCTCTTTTTGGACCTCAAATTTAGCATGCCCAAAACGCACTTTTGATTCCCCCTGCTATAACCCACTCCTCCCAGTTTTCCCAATCCCAATAACAGCATCTCTAGTCTTCCAGTTACTCAGACTAAAATCCTTGACATCATCCTTAAAACTTCTTTTTCTCTCTCTTGTCATCCAACCCATTTAAACTCTCCTTTCAAAACATAGGCCAGACCTAACCACTTCTCACCTTCCTCATCATTTCCAACCAGGTCCAGCCCTCATCATAGCACTCTGGGTAACTGCAAAAGCCTCCCAATCGCCAGGCACAGTGCCTCACGCCTGTAATCCCAGCACTTTGGTAGGCCAAGGCAGGTGATCATCAGAGGTCAGGAGTTCAAGACCAGCCTGGCCAACATGGTGAAAACCCTCTACTAAAAATACAAAAAATTAGCCGAGCATGGTAGTGGGCGCCTGTAATCCCAGCTATTTGGGAGGCTGAAGCAGGAGAATCACTTGAACTCAGAAGGCAGAGGTTACAGTAAGCCGAGATCGTGCCATTGCACTCCAGCCTGGGAGACAAGAGCGAAACTCCATCTCAGAAGGTTTAAAAAAAAAGCCTCCCAACCCACCTCTCTCCTTCCGCCTTTCACCCTACCCTGCATTCTACCTTCCACTCTCAAACATTTCAGAAAAAAAAAAATTATATCCACAGAGAGAGAAAGAGAAAGTACAAATGGGGTGAAGTGTTTGGGGAATCTGAGGGAAGAGCATACGGGAATTCTCTGTACTATTTTTGCAACTTTTCCAAAATTCTGGATTATTTCGAATTCAAGAGTTAAACAAAGAAAAACAAAAAAACAAAAAAGCCACTATCTACCTTTGTGAATCCATCCTGTCTTTCCCCTGGCAACTGAAGGACGTTCTCAACTAAACACATCTATTTTTTCATGAACAGTAAAAGAATCCTTGCCTAGTTTTGTCTTTCTGTGCTTGGCAGTAGAAGTGTGTGTGAGTGTGTGTGTGTGTGTTTCATATATATGTGTGTGTATATACGTGTGTGTGGTGTGTGTATATATAGAGAGAAATATATATGTGTGTATATATATAAAAATATATATTGTATATTGACAATGGTAACGTATATATATAAATATAGGTGTGTGTGTATATATATGTAATACATACCCCATAGCCTGTCCTTAACCAGTTCTAAACTTAGTGGGAAAAATACATACCTAAGCAGAGAATTTCAAAATAATATGATGAATATTTTGACAGAGGGATGCGTTGCTATGGAACACGCTGCTAAGACACAAAATCTCCTAGATGGGACAAGGAATGAACTAAGTTTTGCACCTATAGGCACCCCCACTGATATCCTCACAAACTTTTTTTTTTTTTTTTTTTTTTTGAGACGGAGTCTCGCTCTGTCACCCAGGCTGGAGTGCAGTGGCCGGATCTCAGCTCACTGCAAGCTCCGCCTCCCAGGTTCCCGCCATTCTCCTGCCTCAGCCTCCCGAGTAGCTGGGACTACAGGCGCCCGCCACCTCGCCCGGCTAAGTTTTTGTATTTTTAGTAGAGACGGGGTTTCACTGTGTTACCCAGGATGGTCTCGATCTCCTGACCTCGTGATCCGCCCGTCTCGGCCTCCCAAAGTGCTGGGATTACAGGCTTGAGCCACCGCGCCCGGACTCCTCACAAACTTTTATAGTTATATGCATTTGCTTCCCCCGGGACCCCCGTTTCATAAGGGTTAGTCCTAGAGCCTAGTAAGTTCCTACTACAGCTGGCACACGTATGCCATTCAAGAAACAGTGGCTGAGTGAATGACGAGTTAAGAACCATTTGTCAGCCAGTGCTCAGTAATACAACACGCACTGGTATGCAAATTATATTTGTGTTGAAAGCAAGGGCAGGATCACAAATTGTCTTTCCAGAGAAAGCAAACCTCAAAAACTTCTTTACCCTACTAAAGCACGTTATAAGAAGTTCCCCTTATATAACAGAAAACCTCCTCATTTGTTACCAATGGCACGTAAACCTAGTACGCCTCCGCCTCTGATGACATCTCTTCCATCCCCAGGGCTAGATAAAGGAGGTTCTGGAAACCCTGGTAGTTGTGAAGGTGGCTCCCAGCTCTGACAGTCTTGAACCCTGCGGCGCGGAGGTCACACAGCAGAAGAACAACCGAGGGAAGCATCAGCAGGCTCCGAATATGTTTGAACCAGAGACGGCAAATAGGCTGCAACCAACTGAAAACACCAGAGACTCACGGTGGCCACCTGAGGGGTTGTGCTCTTAAAAAACAAAAAATAAAAAGTAAAAAAGTGAAAAAGGAAGGGGTCAAGAATCCATCAGGTCTGACTGAGACGTGTGTCAGTGACTAACACCTCATATGGCAAAAGCACTCCGGTACGCTTTGGGTCCCCACAGCTTCAGCAGTATTCAAAGGCGTGTGCTGCCCTAAGACTAAGCCATGGGAATACCCCCAGCAACTCTGCCAGGAGAAACAGCTCACGTGGATTTAGCTAGAAATACAGTTGTCTTTAACAAATTAACACTGAATAAATCCTGACTTATTAGAGCCGGCGAGAATGACATTCTCAATGATAACAGTTATCACTACAATCTCCAAACATCTGCGATCCTGCAAGGAGGAACTGTGACAGTGCAGGCCACATGTCCAGAATGCTTCCCAGACTGCCTGTTACAGAATAAAAGAAATGAACCCCCCCTAAGAATGTCTTCCTCGGCCGGGCGCGGTGGCTCAAGCCTGTAATCCCAGCACTTTGGGAGGCCGAGACGGGCGGATCACGAGGTCAGGAGATCGAGACCATCCTGGCTAACACGGTGAAACCCCGTCTCTACTAAAAAAATAAAAAAAAACTAGCCGGGCGCGGTGGCGGGCGCCTGTAGTCCCAACTACTCGGGAGGCTGAGGCAGGAGAATGGCGTGAACCCGGGAGGCGGAGCTTGCAGTGAGCTGAGATCCGGCCACTGCACTCCAGCCTGGGTGACAGAGCGAGACTCCGTCTCAAAAAAAAAAAAAAAAAAAAAAAAAAAGAATGTCTTCACTCACATTTAGCATTGTTCCTTTGTGTATCTCTGTGCTAAAATGGCCATTCTTCCCCACAGCCTGAGTCATATGCTAAAATAAATGAGACTCGCATGAAGCCAGAAACGTGCAGATGTGAGGAAACCCGCACAAACGAAATGGGCTGGAGAGTGTGGCCAGGAGGATGGTATTCCAGGAAGCAATTACTTCATCTCTGCCACGAAGCAGGCAGCTGTCACTGTCCCCCAGGCCCACGCCAGCCACTCGAAGTAGGTTCTAACCAAACTACCTCCAACAATCAATGTAAATACACCACACATTGGCTTCTGAAGGACACCTTGTAAACAACAAAAACTGTAAGCACAACTTTGAAAAACTGTGCAACTAAAACCTTGGAAAGGGAATAAACATGCCACATTTTGACTCAAAATACTGTTATGTGTAGCACTGCAATAATTCACTGAAATGAAAGAATGAATGAGGATATGTTTACATAGGAATCAGGGGAAGTATGACTAATCATTTAAAGAAATAGGTCAAGAAACTGCTAGGTTCAGATGCTACCGTGAGACACTGTCAGGCCTTAGGCAAATTCACTTCTCTTGGTGCTGTTCTAGGCTCATCAAAAACCAGCTTTGGACTAGGGAATCTGTTGCTTTCCATGCCTTCCTTCTGCGATTCCAGCCCAGATTTTAGGACTGCTCTCCCACTTGGTATTATGAAAGCGCTTCAGTGTATAATAGCAAGAGTACATTTCTGTGTTGAATGCGGTTGGACTATCTCTATGAGGAAGAATATCACCATGAACTTTAACATTGATACAAGGCGCACTCTAGGAGAGGATAACACATAAGATGTGCCACACGCCTCTGGTGCCTGGCAGGCAGATGGGGAAGTCTATTTAGTGAGGCAGGGGGGGCCGTGTACCTTAACATCCTCATCCAGTCAAAGTTCACAATGTCCTTTGACTCAAACCACAGGTATCAATACTTTTCCATACTTTCTACCCAAGATTAATATGCAGAGCACTGTGATAAAGACGCCTCCATCACCAGCATGTTGGCTCTCGTTCTGTAGAATTACATACTTTCGGTGCAAAATGATCACCAGGCTGCAGCGGCAAGCAAGACTGGCCTCTGTGGGGACAGCAGGCCCTGCAGCAGCCACCACTCCTGGTCGCACATTCTGATCAGCTGCAGAGAAGCTGTGCTGAGCCATTCACTTGTGAGAGAACCGCACAGGAGGGAAAAGGTAGGGAGGTAGGGAAGAGGGCAATGTCAGCCTCTGAGTCCAGCCAAGCCATCGCATCCCCTGTGACTTACACGTATTGCCAGATGGCCTGAGTAACTGAAGAATCACACAAAGAAGTGCAAATGCCCTGCCCCGCCTTAACTGATGAACATTCCAACCACAAAAGAAGTGAAAATGGCCAGTCCTTGCCTTAAGAGATGATATATCTTCTGAAATTCCTTTTCCCCTGGCCTATCGTGGTTTCAAAACCTCCCCACTGAGCACCTGTGACCCCCCCCCACTCCTGCCGCCAGAGACAACCCCCTTTGACTGTAATTTTCCTTTACCTACCCAAATCCTATAAAACAGCCCCACCCTCATCTGGGTGACTCACTGACTCTCTTTTCGGACTCAGCCCGCCTGCACCCAGGTGATTAAACAGCTTTACTGCAGACACAAAGCCTGTTTGGTGGTCTCTTCACATGGACGCGCATGACAGGCAGGTGCAGAGCCAGGGAAGGACCTGTGATGAGAACAGAAAGGAATGCACCTCCCTGTACGCACACTCGGATTTTATGGCAATGTGGGCAGGGGACTGAACTGGATGCCTGAAAACATTCCTCCAAGTTCTTTTGCTGATTTTCTAAATATTGGTGTAAAATCTGAACTCAGACAAAATTTTTTTTAAATCGTTTCAGTCAACATCTTTGTTTGGTGCTTAGCATCATGTCTACACGATCATCTAGAAAACCAACTTCTGTTCTAAGGCTCACATCTTCCTATAAAGTCCCAGGGATTTTACAAGGGAATGCACCTCTCATTCGCATCAAGAACACACCAACCACCATTAAAGAATGCTTAATTTGTTTACATCATTTTTTAAACACCCAGATTTGAAATACAATT